GATGTTTAATTCATACGTCTTTTTATTTCTGATATTTGCGTGACACAGATTGAATTACTTGGTCCCTCCAGATTCTCAGTTGTCTTTTTTTTCTGTGCTCAGCGTAGACAAAATCCACTACGGATGTGTCTTTCTTAAAGGATCCTCCGACTGCTGCAGACAGAAGCGACAGATACAAAAGCAGCTTAATGTTATTTACAAGAGGAGAGTGTAAAATGTTTTGGAGGATAAAACAAACTGCCCACCCATGTTTGTGTGACTGGTCTGTTAATCAGAGCTGTGTTTAGGCCAATAAAGTCAAACGCAGCAGCAGAGACGGATGATCAGAAGATCAACAGGCTCGTCTGACCCTGACCTTCATCTCCCTCCTTCCCTCCCTCACCCTCTCTCCCTCTTTTTGTCCGTGTATGTCTGTCTCTCCATTTCTGTACACTTCTGCTTCCTGCACTCAGCGTCTCTTGTCTCGTCTTACCTCCATCTTTGCTACTCTCCGCCCCGTTTCCTTCTCCTCATCCTGTATTGCCTTCGACTATTTTAATCACTCGTTCCACTGTCGGCCTCTCTCTCAGGACCATCCTGCTCAGCGTGATCTCTCTGCTGAACGAACCCAACACGTTCTCGCCCGCCAACGTGGACGCCTCCGTCATGTACCGAAAGTGGAGGGACAGCAAGGGCAAGGACAGAGAATACATCGAGATCATCAGGTACAGGAAGGAAGAAAAACGCACTCGACCGTCTCTTCACAGTAGAAACAGAGCGCCACAACTCAACTTGCTCATAGCCTCATTTTTATTTATTTTTTCACCTCTTCCGTTTCTTGCGTCTTACAGAAAGCAGGTGGTGGCTACCAAAGCGGACGCAGAGCGGGACGGCGTCAAGGTTCCCGTCACGTTGGACGAGTACTGCGTCCGAACCCAAGTCCCACCCACAGACGATGGCTCCAACCTCTTATACGACGACTACTACGACGACGAGGAGCTGGATGACGACGACGACGAGGATGACGATGAGGACTGTTGCTATGACGAGGACGACTCAGGCACCGAGGACTCCTGACCTCGCCCGCCCCGCGACATCGTCCCCCTGCTCGCCGTTCTTGTTCTCAACACCCCCATCCCACCGCTGACCCTCTTCTGTCATGAACTGAACTTTGAATCCCCCTCTCCCCCCTTCTTCCCCAGTACTCACTTAGCACAGCCCCCGTCCACCTTCTGTCACATGTGCAGTCACAGCGTGCGCACTAAAACCCGATGCATTGAAGAAAAGAAGGCTACAGAGTTTTTTTTCCTGCTTGTTTCTTACATGTTTTATTTTATTTATCCGTTCTGAGTAAAGGTTACACACAATATGCACACTCAGCAGGAAATCTTCAAAGTCATAGTTTTGGTTTCCTCACCTCCTGTTGATCTGCACTTACTAAAAATTAGCTTAGCCTTTTAGCTTCGAGTCGTATTTCTTCTGCAGGCTGATGTCTGAGTTAATTTTGGTGCAGAATGGTCACACCTGCTCTTAATCACAGTCATCAGGAGACCGGTTCAGGTCAGAGTAAAGCAGGATTTGTGAAGAAAGCTAACGTAGGATAATTAGCATACTGTGCGTATGTGTCTGCGCGAGTTGTTTTGTTTTTTCTTTTTCTAAAGCGGAGTCGTTTCCGCCTCTGAGCCCCGGATGTGTGTGTGACTCTACTCTAGTTTGCAGGCTGTTCAAAGCCCCGCCATGCCTCACCTCTGACCTTTTAAGCCGCAAGGCTCGTGCTGCTCCACACATGAAAGTTGTCTGCCATTCACACTCTCTTGTGCCTTCCCTCACTCCCTAATATTCCACATGTGACTGACCAATGGGATCCATGAGTCATGGCAAACCCCAGTCAGCCTGGCAAGAGGAAAGTGGCATAAGGAGTCAGTCAGCCCCCCCTCCTCCCTGCTCTTTTAATTCTCAGGTGGCGATGTTGTGTAAATGGCGCCCTCCTGATGGAGGGAACTTATTTATAGCGGCACCTGTCAGATTTGTCCGAGGTGTGAGTGAGGAAGGTAAGATCGAACAGCTGAGCTAAAGAATGGCATGTAGCCCAGAACCCCAGAAACGTCCTCTACCGACTGCCACGCGGCCTTCGTCGTACAAGC